TGATATATATATTTATTTTTTGGGTGATACCAAATTAAGCAATTTATTATCGTAATTGTAGCAACTCTTCCTTTTTTTTTTTTGGATGTGCATGTGGCTCCCCCTTTTGTTAACTTGCCTTTTACCTTCTCTAATGGGAGTGGATGTGAAAAGGGGGCCCTGTATTGGCTAAGAATCCCTCACCTTGAAAATTTACAAGTGAGATGAGAATACAGCCCTTAATCAAATGAACAATTAATCCCATTAGCTTTCAGTTCAAGTAAATACAAAAGCTCTGTATGAGGAGGTGGAAGTGTAGAAGGGGATTAAGTGTGTCCCTTCCTGTATAGCTTGTAAACAACTGGTCAGCCCTCATAGGTTGTGCTGGATGAACAGGTTGGAGTGGCTGGCTGCATAGCGGGCACCATGTTGTGAAACAGTGTTTGCAGCTTGAGGTGACAAACTTTGACTCTGGGGCTCTGTTGTCAAGGGAAGACTCCTCTTGCCGTATTTTTGTTAAACTTCCCAATAGATAATGTGACATATTAGACATTTTCCAGAATACTTGCATAGATTAGCAACTAGTTTTTCAGTAGGTTGGGAGCAGTATACGGAATTGTTGGTGAAATTGACTGGCATTTTAGTATCGGTGATTTGAGCAGTCACTAACTATGAAAAAACCTATTCATAAGCTAACAACATGCAATTCTGAGACACTTGGCAATTGACAGCTCAAATGGAGATTTTCACGTTCTCTGCTTTTTTAAAGAGGGACTGTATTAAAGGTGGTAGAGATACCATGCAATCTACATAGTGATCTCTGTTCTCTAGCTGCTCCTTCATGTAAATAGGTGAAACTGACATTTACAAGCATCCTATTCTTGCAGGATAAGGATGGAGTAGGCTATCAACAGGACACCACAATATGCATGTATGTAGTAACGTACTCAGAGCCTGGCTTATCTAGTGGTATGTTGCTCACCTGGGATTATAATAGTGTTGCAACTGTTTTTTGTACGTTAATTGCTTCAGAATAAAGAGTCCATTGTGAGTGGCCCTTCTTAGAGTAGGGTGAGCCTTCGTGTCTTTAAACTGCAATGTTGGTACAAGTGCCGTTTTATGAAAGTTCGTTTATTAGCGTAATTGCCATTGACTCTACTGGCAACTGTAGTGTCACCACTGGTAAAGCAGAGAGAAGATGCCCTTCTGATAGAATAGAACTTAAGTTTTTTTTTTTCTTTTTTTAAAGTGTTGCCACCTTGCTACTGTCTCCCACTAGAGGGCAGCCTTTCTCTCTAAAAGATCCAAATACCTGGCTCCTGAGACCAATCTTCAGCGCGCATTGTATTGCTGTTAACTCTATCTAATACAATGGTTTTTGAAACACTGTTCAAGCTAATTTTCCCCTGTCAACCAGGGAAAAAGTGATGAAGCTAATATGACTGGATAAATCAATAGATTCACCCATTCTATTCATGAATACAGGAAAAAATTACTCTGATGTTCTGTGTCCTGTAAAGTTCTTTACCTCTGGTGAAAATTATTTGCCTCTCTGTGCATGTGTAAGTAAAATATAAAAGGTCTTCATGATCTGGATGAATGGCTGGGAACACTTCTGGAAAAATTTGCAATACTGGGTTTAAACTACCCACATGGAATGGACTGGAGGCTTTTCAAAATACCTGCCTGCAGTGAAAATGTAGCTGGTCTTGGGGAACAGGGAATATTTTGGATTGTTCATGCATGATCACTGATATGGCACTAAAGTCCTCCTTTTATGTTCATATATCATGCCTGTTACTGAGAGATGAGTGAGTTGCTATTCATCATGGCAACATTTACTACGGGGAGTGGGGAGATGGTGCTACAAGACAAGAAAAATGAGGCAAAAAAGACATGTTGCACCTCGAAGGAAATGTGACTAGAAGTGGTTCTCTTTCTCAGGCTCAAACTGTTCAGGTAGCTGAAGTGGAGCCCCAGCCACAGCCTCAGCCTTCACCTGAACTCCTGCTTCCGAATTCTCTGAAGCCAGAAGAAGGGCTCGAAGTGTGGAAAAGCTGGGCACAGACCAAGAATGCCGAGCTGGAAAAGGAGTCTCAGAACAGGCTAGCCCCTATTGGCAGTAAGTGTCATGGGAGGGAGTTATCTGGCATGGTATATTTTACTCCATGTTTTCACCACTAGAAATTTGGTTTCAAGTAGGGATCAGGTAGCAAATGAAACAAGACTACACTTGGTTCAGACTAGAGCTACCTACCTAGTTTTCCTAAGCTCCAAATCCCTCTCAACCCTTCTATCTACCCTAACTTCGAGGATCATTTTCCTGTTCAGCAGAACCACTGCAATGTTCCATCCCTTTTGTTAGGAAAACTCCCTCCTGGTTTGAGTGGTGATTGTAGTTTGGGATCTCAAGTTCAATTTGTCAGTGTGATGGTTAGGCTTGGCAGAATTGAACTCCTGTATCTATAAACCTTTAAAGGATAATATTATTTCCCCTAATTTTATCTTAATTTTCACAGTTGTAAGAAATCCTGGGGGGCACAGCCTATAATTATTTAATGACAGTAGTCATTGAGATTCAAAAAAATATCTTTACAACCGTTAAACACCCATGTTAAAGCATACACACATAAATATACTTAAGCAGCATTTCATGCTTTGAGTTTGCTTTATCTGTAAATTTCAATGATTGTCAGTGGAAATCTAGTTTCTGTGTACAGTGAAATCGACACTGACCGACATTTACCAAATAAAAATCTAATCCTTCCAAGCCTAAGAATGGTTTGTCTTTGCCAACTGCATCATGAAACATTCCAAGAAGTGTTTCTGTTCCATATTGAGCTACTAGCCCAAGAACGTAGTTTGGTGGCCACAGAAAAGGCCATGTAGGACTATGATGGACGAGTGCCAGTTACAGGAACAAAATAGCCCCATACACCAGCTACTTAATGAATCAGCAAACGCTGTTATGGGTTTGTTCTGGCTTTCCCATTGCTGCAGGGAAAATGCTCCATTGCAGAGAATGGAGAAGGAGATGGTCTCTATATAGAATGGGTGGTGGTGTCAGTTTTCTCTAAATGTCTTTCCCTGCTTCTCGGATTTGATTTATGAATGCTAAAGGAGCTGTTCGGAAGTGGGGGAGCATAGTGGGAGGGAGGGGTGGACAGTGGTGAAATGGAAGATAATGCTTGAAAAAAGTCTGTGTGGTGTGTGGGTTTTTTTTTGTTTTTGTGTTTGAGCAAATTCATCATGACATTTTGCTTTGCAGGACGCCAGCTGCTGAGATTCCAGGAAGATCTCATCTCCTCTGCTGTGGCTGAGTTGAATTATGGGCTATGCTTGATGACACGAGAAGCTCGCAATGGTGAAGGCGAACCATATGATCCAGATGTACTCTACTATATCTTCCTATGTATTCAGAAGGTAGGGGGGAAAGCCCTCATCTCTTACTTTATGCTGTGTGCACACAACAAAACTGTGCATATGCTGTGATCAGACAGTATTTGTAGATAGCTTTCTCTGTGTAAGACCTAGAACAGGTGGCCAACCTGAGCCTGAGAAGGAGCCATAATTTACCAATGTACATTGCCAAAGAGCACTTCCAGTGCCTCCCACCCACTGGCAGCCCCGCCGATCAGTGCCTCCCCCTCCCTCCCTCCCTGCACCTCCGGATCAGCTGTTTCGTGGCATGCAGGAGGCTCTGGGGGGGAGGAGGAGGAGCAAGGGCATGACAAGCTTGGTGGAGGGCATGGGAAGGTGTGCAGTGGGGGCAGGGCTTGTGGCAGAACAGTGAGCACCCCCGGCACATTGGAAAGTTGGCGCCTGTAGCTCCAGCGCTGGAGTCGGTGCCTATACAAGCAGCCGCATGTGGCTCTGGAGCCACAGGTTGGCCACCCCTGACCTAGAATGAGGGTGGCAGTTGCTATTCGAATCAAGCTCTCCAGCTTTGTTTATGTATGGAAAAGTGAATGAAGAGGATTCTTGATTGCTGACAGAACATGCAGCTTTAAGAATGGACAGTTTGAGACCTTAATTAGTAGATGGAATTTTTAGAGGGATACTAGCTTGCAGTTAGAAACAAAATAGTTGCTATTAACTAAATGAAATAATGTGGTGAGAATTTAATGGGAAAGTGTCGTCGTTTCCCCCCCCCCCCCCACGGAAAGTGTAATGCTCTAGATCTAGTCTGTCCTGCTTAAAATCAGTGTTTCAGCTTTGACTTGCCTGAAATGTGAG